CTTATCTGTACCAGGCTCTTGTGTTCTTGCTACAGAGATTCTGATTAGCTCGTACCTGTCACTGGAGCAGCCTAAAACAAGCATGTTTTTGCTCTGTTATGTGACCTTTTATGCACAGGATGAGAAACTTTCTCTTACAAGGCTGCACTGTTGCTCTGTGTCAAATCCTTCTTTAACTTTGCTTTGCTATAACTACCAAAATGTCCTTATCTTTCCAAAGTATTGTGTGCAGTAAGGTTGAATGATGATGTGAAATTTGCCACTATATTTATGACCAAACCCAATGTTTGCCAGTGCTTTTCTTTATATAATAGAATAATCTCCTTGGGTTCTGTAAGCTGGATGAAACAGCAGCCCTGTGGTATGAGAGTCCTGAATCACCCACATAAGGGTTATGATAAAAGCTAAAGGAGCAACTCTAATGAAGACATAACCTACACCACTGTCATCACCTGAGGTGCTCACACAGCACTCAGTGGCTGCTGCATTTTGTCTGGTGCTTTACTACACATTTTTAAACGAGTCTGATGTTTGTGTGTCCCTAAAGCAGATGTTCTGGGTGTTGGTTCTTCCTGCCCTTGTCTAGCAGCCAGGATTACTGCACACCCACTGTTAGGCCCACTGTAATATTTAAATACCTATCAGGTATTTTAGGTATTAATGCTTTTTTTTTTCCTTCTTTGTCTTTCAGATTTCAATGATTGTCTAAAGAGAATGTCAGTAATGTCTGTGGCCATTTTAAAAACAACTTTATTCTGTTATAAATGGGCTTTAATCACCATACATTAAACAGTAAACTAAGTTCTGTGAATTTATTTCAACTTTGCATTTCTAATGCATGAATGTCCTTCTGGCTGCTTTCCTGGACTCAAAAATCTGGACCAATTTTCCTATTCCTGCGTATTAGAGCACTTGACTTATTCAGCAGTAAACTACCTTGGGTATTTCCTGATATATCACAGTCCCCGGTGTCTTCTTTTTGGTTAATAGTATAAGAAGTGACTGAAAGTTTAAACCTGCAGAAATAAGGTTTTGTTAAAGTACAGGAATTCTCAGTGGATGGGAACAATCATTAGAGACTGATTGCAGTAGGTTGGCTTACATTTGTAAGTCCTGAGATGTGTCTTGTGCCACTTCTGCCTATGTTGACTTGCCTTTGCTTTTACCTGGGCACGTGTTTGAACAGGTGGGTCCAACACCTTTAAACTCTGGGATGAGTAAGGAGAAAGGAGTGATCAGAATTGATAATCTGGGAAAGTACAGCTTGGGTAGGGTGTTGCTTTATTCCTCTGTAATACTGAATTGAATATCAGTCCTGAATTAGCAAAGACTGCCAGCAACTCTAACCAAATCTGCTGGGGAAAGCTTGCTGCAACCTTTTCAACTTCACTTTATTTTCTTAAATTAGTACTGCTGGGAAAAAAATTATATGTATCATCTGGCTACTGGGATGAAAATACGGTAAAGACCCAAATAAGATTAGGCTCCCAAAGCTCTGTGTGTGTGTGGGCTGGTGGTCATGAAGCTAAATTATCAGACTACTGGTACCACTTGCATTTGAGGGATAATACAGCTTTGTGCCGACAATTCCAGCTGAAATTCCTGCTGCCAGCAGCACACAGTGTGCACATTGCTGTGCTGCCTGTGACAGTCACAGCCCTGGGCTTTATTCTCGGCCTGGGAACCAGCTCCTTTCTACGAGATCAGGGGGGAAACATCTCTCAAGGCAGGTTCTGTAACTCTGCGTTCCACGCTGAAGTGTCAGGAGCTTAACGCACCCACAGACAATACTTGGATGTTGCCTTCTGGAAATGTTTACAACTGATTTGTGGGGGTGTGTCATTCTCCTTCCCTGCCCCTCCCCTCCCCCAGCTTTCGTTTCTCGGGAATGACAAGAGCGGCGTGTGTTTCTGATTACACTCGGATCACAGGGGTCGGGAGCGGTGGGTGGGGGCAAAGAGTAAGCCTGGAGCAGGGAGCAGCAATAAAGACTGCTTTTATTGCCTGTAAATGGGCGGTCAGAGGAACATGCTGCCACTGAACAGCCTGCTCAGGTAAACCGGCTTCAACAGTTTGATACTATCAGCAGTGCAGCGTGTTGTTCAACTGTCCTTCCCACTCGAGAAATTACCCGTGTAGCGCTCGCTACTCCCTTGATAATGAAAATAATCACGGTTAGCTCAGGACTGGGGGCATGGTAATTTTATCTAGGGGGAAAAACAACCCATTTTAATCAAGACCAGACAGCCCATCTATGTCATCAGATTTAACAAGTATGTTTTCTTAGCATTTTGAGCAGCTTCAGTTGTCAGCAGAAGGCGGATGTATTAGTTTAGATACACATGTATGGTATAATCTGGTCATTCAAATAATGAGATTTCTTTAAACAAGCTTTAGACAAGTGTGCACAGTGAAAGGAAGCAATAGGGCTTTCCATTAGAGTAACTGAAAAGACTCTTATCTAATTAGAAACCTACAGCCATGAAACATTTGTGTGTTTAATATGGAATCAGGATCAGAACAAATTCTAGACTGCCTTATTTTCTGAGTGTACTCCAAGAAAAAGTAAACCTGGTGAGAGGAAGTTCATCTGTACGTAGCCAGGACAGTAAAGTGTAGTAATGTAATAGTTTGTGGAGTTATTCTCTTCCTGAATTTTAAAAGGTAATGGCTGTAACTGTGGAAGATCTTTTTGCTGTACGTGGGAAAACTTATTCAAATAAATCAAACTTTCCTACTGTAGTGGCTATTTAAAAATAATAGTTTCTATTACTCTGCTTTACAAAGCAATGTGATCCCCTCACTGTGTTACTACTTGAAATAGTGATAACCAAATATCATTGCAATGTGTGCAATAGGAATGATTAGAAGCTTAAAAAAAAAAAGGAAATTCAAGAGTGTAGAACTCATGTTTACACACTCCTGGGCTTTCCTACAATAAGGAGATCCTACTCCCTCTTTTTCTGTGTTAAACATATTAATGATGGCAAAGAGAACAGTTGAGATGTGAAACACTGTGGGACATGAATGATGCATGTGAGTGTGTTGTGGAAATCTGCACTAGGAAATACTCCACAGAATGTATGAGCTGAATGAAAAGAGTAATTTTTTCCTTGAAAGTGTCTTTCCACCAAACCGTTTGTTAGAAGTGTTTGGAGGCCAATACCATGAAGTTTAAAAAAGATCTGCTTGTCTTATGAAGGCATAAAATCTCTGGATTTATCCTGAATACTGGTGCATTTTGGAAGGAATCTGTGTCCCTTTGCTGCTTGCTGCTAGCAAGCCCCTTTTGTTCAGGATGGAACTAGAACAAAGAGAGGAGAGGGAGTCCTATTTGTGCTTCTTGCAGAGTACTTCTGTGATCACAGAGACGCCCAGAAAATGTCATAAAGAATTCAACAAGTGGTTTTATCAATGACATGAAAATGAAGTCTCCAATGATGAGAACTTAAAGGAAAACCAGTTTGAAGTGTTCTGAACATGTCAGAATAAGCACGATTAATGCAGCCAACTCCAATTTTTATATAAGTAAAATAAGAATCTGGCCTGATATCTAATACAGTAATTTCATTCTGTCTGTGTGGCTGGAAAGTTACATTAAGAAACAGCTTCCTCTTAATTTGTCATATTCTGTGACCATGGAAAAAAGTCAATTATTTGAAGAAAGTACAACTTCTCATTTGGGAGGGTTTTCCTTTCTACATCTTCAGAGTAAGTAAAGTTGTGCTAATTACCATTCTATTAATGTGTATATGCCATATTTTAATTTTCTGCTGCCTAATCTGTTCTTCTTGCGCTAATGGCCTTCTGTCATGCAAAGAGAAGTAAGAAAAAGATGGCTGATATTAAGACTCTCTTGTAGAATTTTAGACCAGGGAAAATATTCCCTGGACACCCTCTGGAAACAAAAAAACCAGACAGCAGGAGAGGTGCCAAAGTGGGCAGGGCCAGCAGTGGGTGAGGAAGCCGTGACATCTGTGATCCTGCTGCCCACTGTGCTCAGAGCTTGGTGGGAGCAGCAAGTCCTTCCTAGAAAAGAGGCAGATTATCCCCAATCAGTTATTTATTATGTGTTTCCCCTCTGTGAGAGGTAACTGCTTCCTGCTGTTGCCTTCTGCAGAGTTCTAACTAGCAGGCTTAACCCCTAATTTGGGAAGGAATAATTGCTCTAACAGTCACTGAAAAGCTGTCAGCCTTGTCTGGGATGGAGTTTCCTGTGCTTTTTGTATGAAAAATTCACCTTGTAGTTGCTGTTCACTTTCACTCTGTCTCAGAATTTCCTGTATTGAAAATGGAAGAGAGGAGGCTTAATAACACTTTGCTTGGCTAGGGAAAGGAGCTTCCAAAGTTTATTGTAGTAGAGCATCTCTTTATCGATGAAGCAGGAACTGTGTTTAACAGTGTGCTCTCCAAGGGGGAAAAAAGATCTGTTATTGTATTCTGCAAAGACCACTAACTCTTCCTTTTACAAAATCATGAAGCAAAGTTAATCAGCTTGCTTTGCTTCCTAATTTAGTTATTTAAATGTTCAGTGGAAACAGAGAAGATGAAAGAAAACTCGGGAGGACGTCTGTCCAGCACAAGATATTGATATAAATAGAGAGACTGTGAAAAGTAGTTGTGAATCTGTTTTGTTTTCTACTTCAGAAAAACCAGTTGGAACAGGACTGTGCAGGAAAAGCTCTTGCTGAGGGAGAAATTGGGGCACAGCTCAGCACTGTTTGTTTTCATGTAGGTTTAGATAATAAAACACAGAAGGCTGAAAGGGAGATTTGATTTACTATTGTTCAGAAACCACATTTCTTAGGTCTACAAGCCTCAGCTGGCCCTGTGTTTTTACTACAATTTCAGATATCTGCTTTTCCTTACCTATTTTTTCACCTGTATTTTCCATTTGGCATAATAACAGGTTTAGAAGTCTAGAAAAGGAGAAAGTGAGTGGTTTGCTGCAAGGACTGGAGTCTCTCGTTTCATTCATTTCTGTTCTCATTGTTTGGCAGGTGGAAAGCACGGATTTACAGAGCTGAACTGGATCAGCTGAAGAAGTGGGGAAAGAGAAACAAAACAAGTAGAGTACCAGTGAAAAGAGCTTCAGCTTTATCTGACAGCATCACCACAGCAACCAGAGAATACGATCAGAGGACAAGGGCTGGAGCAGAGAAGGTGACAGTGTGGCTCCCTACCTTTGGACAGAAGGCAGCAGATAATTATGCAGAACAGAAAGGGGTGTTTGGTGGCTCCAGACAAACTGTGGCAGAGGGAAGAGTCCCGTCATTAACAGGAATGTGCCCCAGTTTATGCACTGGCAAGGGGAGTGCCATGAGATCTACTGAAGAGACTATTTCTGGGGTTGCACATCTCCACGTGTTTGTCCCCCTGCTGGGACTCAATTAGGTGGCTGTAGGCACCGTGGACCAACAGGTTCTGGAAAGTGACCTTTTCTCCCGTTCAAGCTGTACGTGGCACGAGAACTGAGCGACACTGCAGACCTTAGTTCAGAGACACAGAGAGTGAGCAGATCTCCAACCCTTCCCTTCCACACCTGCCTGCTGTACCATGGGATGTCGGCAAAGCTCTGAGGAGAAAGAGGCAGCGCGGCGGTCGCGGAGGATTGACCGCCACCTGCGCTCTGAAAGCCAGCGACAGCGAAGGGAGATCAAACTCCTCCTCCTGGGTACCAGCAATTCTGGGAAGAGCACCATCGTAAAGCAGATGAAAATCATTCACAGCGGCGGCTTTAACTTGGAGGCCTGTAAGGAGTACAAACCTCTGATTATCTACAACGCCATTGACTCTCTCACTCGGATCATCCGGGCCCTGGCCACCCTTAAGATAGAATTCCACAACCCTGACAGGGCGTATGACGCCGTGCAGCTCTTCGCCCTGACGGGCCCGGCTGAGAGCAAGGGCGAGATCACCCCGGAGCTGCTGGGGGTGATGAAGCGGCTGTGGGCAGACCCCGGCGTGCAGGAGTGTTTCTGCCGCTCCAACGAGTACCACCTGGAGGACAACGCCGCCTACTACCTGAACGACCTGGAGCGCATCGCGGCCCTGGACTACATCCCCACCGTGGAAGACATTCTGAGGTCCCGGGACATGACCACGGGCATTGTAGAAAACAAGTTCACCTTCAAAGAGCTGACTTTCAAAATGGTGGACGTGGGTGGGCAGAGATCCGAACGCAAAAAATGGATCCACTGTTTCGAGGGGGTTACAGCAATAATTTTCTGTGTGGAGCTGAGCGGGTATGACTTGAAGCTGTACGAAGATAACCAAACAGTAAGTGCACCTTCTGCTCTTTGTTTTCTTGCCTTCTCTTCCTTTCCCCTTCACCAGTATTTGACCTTTTTTCTCCCCTGCTCCCTGCCCTCCCAAGGCAATAATCTCTGAGTTCCCAACCCTTTATTTCCTTCCCCTCACCCTCAGTCTTTAGGAAAAAGCCAAAAGCTAGGATTCTTTTATTTGGATAGTTTTCTCCACTGGGCAGAAGGAGTTATTGAATGTTACTTTTGGGAAATGGAGGTGCTGATTTATTATTTTTTGGTGCCCTTTAGCTAAATGTTTACCTGGTTTAGTGTTCCTTCGAACACCACTTAAAGGTGGGCAGTAGTGACACCCTGGTCTGCAGGGACGGGTCATTTGGACATCATGTTTGTGGGTCCTGGGAAGTTTTGGAGCTCAAATAGTAGTAAGTAAGAGTTTTTTCCCCCTTTTTTTCCAGGATTTTCAATCAGAATTTGGGATTTAAAATTTTAAAAAGTAATAAAATGTGGGTTTTAATTAGAATGAAACGTTATAAAGTTAAAATGGTCTTTGCCTGTTTTTGGTTATATGGTGAATTTGCCCTGTCTAAAGAACAGCTATTCCTATTTAATACCCTTTACTACTGTTCCCTTCTAATTTTCCCAGCAGGCAAGTACAGTAACTGTGGAACACATATAAATACTTATGCATATGCAAATGTGTGTTTGCTGTCACTTTGAGGTTGCCTGAGTTAAACTTTGTAGGGTTTCGCTTGAACTTATTTTTTTTGACAGCCTCGTAAAATGTGCTGTTTGAGAGAAGCCATGGTGTGTGTATTTATGTTTGAAAACAGCTGCCTTTCAGGAAGAACTAAAACATAACTGTAAAATTGGGAAGTTAACCTTAAAATGATGCTACTTCTCTTCTGCTCCTTTCCACACCTTCAGCTGCAAACATGTAGAAAACTTGTCCACCAATATCAGCTCCTGGAGTGTTCCAGAACTCCAGAATCCTTGTTCTGTCACAGCGGGTGTGTTGTGTAAGTGGTGTTGAGGAGGAAATTGTTCCAAGACATTTTTATATTTCTATTTTTTTTTCTAATGGGATCTCAGTAAGATTACAGAAGGGCATCTCTCAGCCAGGTCTGATGATCTGGTTTGGGCAGTCCTCTCTGGAAGAGGGTTCCTGATCAGCCTTATCTGTTGTTCTTGAACCAAACCTAAGCCTGATAACACTTTTCAGAAATACTTGCATTTTGCTGTAAATGAAATATGCATTCTGAGTACTAAATCTTTGACAAAGATTTTTCGTATTAGAAAGGAGCTAAGTGACGAGTTTGAGAAGCAGTCATAGAAGGTCTTGAGAAATATATCAGGCCAAGGAAACTTATTTTAAGAAAAAGAAATTGTTACCTAATTTTAGCAGCTTTGAGTTTTAGATCTTTCTTTTGTACCTCCCTCATTGTCTCCATGTGGCCATTCTATGAGCATGGAATTCTTTCTTAAATGATTTTTGCAAAGATATTTCCAAAAATCTTTGTTGGCCCTGTTTGAATTGGCCCTTTTTTGTTGGTACAGTTTATCACATATATAATATTTCCCTCTTCTTATCTTCTGTTGTGATTTTACAGCTTATAAACTGCACCTCCATTTTCTTCTCTGTGCTATTCTGGTGAACCATTCCACTGTCCTACACGTGGTTTTACACTTCATCATCTGGAGATTCTTGTCTCGACATTAGTGCCCTCTTATTGTAACAGATTTGTATATCTGATTTTTGTTTAGTAACCTCCTCTTGACATGAGAGAAGCCACTGCCCCTAATTCTTTCTCTTCATTTAGAGTTACACTAGGCAAAGCATGTCTCTTTATATCTAGACCCTGCCTAGGAGTTAGTTGGTTTCTTGCAATTCTGTAGACTTTTTGTGCCTTGCTCTTCAGATTTACAAATCAAAAAGAACTAGGTCAGAGGGAAAAAAATCAATATACTCTGAGAAATCCTTGTGGATGCAGCTCCAAACAGGACCAACATTGGTACCCACACTGGTTCATCACCAGAACTGCAACACTGAGACTGCCACTCCTGAGGAAAGCCCTTACAATGATAGTGTTGCAGAGTCGAAAATGCTTCCTGGTGTAGTATCTATGGTGAGGAGAACTGTTAAATAAAAACCAGTCCTCTGCCAAACATAACTCACTGCTTGGGAGAGCGTGGAAGAATCTGGCTGGTCTCTAAACTGTGAAAGCTGAGAAATGATCTGCAGGAACATGATCCCCTCAGTGATCCTGCTGACAGCAGTGGGTAAATGCTATGCACGAGCTGGGTCTTTACTGAAGATGCGTTAAAATAATGATTGACAAATATGGTAAAAAATGAGGGGGAAAGCTCAGTTGTGCATGTGGTGGTTCTGATTGTGGCTGACTCAGGAGGTCTGCTAAGGGTGACATCACTGTGGTGACACTGATGTGCATAAGGGAGAACAAAAATAAAGCCCAAACTATTAGTTGCCTGGACAACTTTTCCTTTGAGTGTAATTTTAAGTGACAAGTGAAACTTTATAGTCCTGAAAACAAATGGCAGAAAGGGAAGGCAGAATTTTTCTGGGGCTTTTGTCTTTCTCCTGCTACTCTTTATTCTGGTAAACATCCCTTGCAGGCCCCAAATCACCTGAACTGGCAGTTTGTAGGCCTGGACAAACCAGTATTGTGCCTTGTCGGTTTAACATGTGATATTTAGCTGCTTACTAAAGAGTAAGAGAGGGAAAATTGTATTTTTTTTTCCTCCACCTTGTGAGCTTTCCTCTGTCACTCTGTAACAATATTTTGCTTATCTGGGGTTATCTGCAAAGGTGGTTTGGGTCTGGTTTCATTTCTACAGTGCCTTTGGAGTTTTTTTCCTACACAGCACATTAAATGTAGCTGGATCTTTCCATGCACCACACCTGGGGAGCATGACTCAGCTGGGTAACAGCTGCTGCTTCTGCTTTTGACACAAGTGGCAAAATTGGTTTGCAAAGTACCTTTGGAATGCTGTGGATTTATTGTAGGATTATTATTCCAGACCAGCACTCGGAGGAGGTTGCCTGAAGTTTTATATCCCAATGCTGATTTCTTCTCCATTCTATCAAATGAATTACTTGTTGTAGTTTTCATGGTCCTTTGCAGCTGATTGACCCATTCTATCTTTTATTATAGATTAAGATGTCATCTCTGGCCTTTCATAATGTCAAATTATCAGGTGATCATTTTTTTGGCCTTCTTACACGTTGCATCCTGCACTTAGAAGGAGTTACCCATTAATATCGAAGTGTCTCATCTTTATTTCAATTTCTTCTTAAATTAATGCGTGCTAGAGAGTGTTAAATCATCCGTGTTCTCTAATGTTAGAGCTCCTGCCTCTCACCCTGCAAAGGATCCTTGCAGTTTGTTTGCAGCCTCCCCTCCTGCCTGTGCACTCAGTTCTGTGGTTCAGGCCTGCTGTACATTCTTGGGGGTGGCTTTCAATTTTCATCTGCAGTCTGCAGCTGCAACAGGGTTTGGGAGTATTAGAAACACTCCTCAAAGATGCAATAATAAAGTAAATAATGAAATGAGTTTGACAGGAATGTGTGCTTGAGAATTCATGAGGTCAGGAGTTGCAACAGATCCACCTTGTGCAGGAGATACCAAGGAAAGGTTGTAAAGGTCTAAAAGTTATGAGAGTTTATAATTTTAGAAATATGGATGTTAAAGGAAAGCTACTTGCAGGTAATGAATAATTTTTATTCCCTTTCTTGCAGCCATTGCAAATGAAAGGAAAAATGACATTTTAGCTTTTTGAGGTTATTTTTTTAGTACAGCATCTTGTTAAAAAAGAGGTGCAGATGAAAAAATGCAGCAACAAACAGTTCAACCTGCAGTTTGCCTCATGCAACACTGATTGCTGGGGTCGTAAAGGAGCCTCTCAATTATCCAATAATAACTGGGAAGCCTTCTGATATGCTAATTGTATGCATTTTGAACAGAAATCCTGTTTCTCACAGGAAATATTTTATCCAGTAAACAACATTGTTAACATTTTTTATTTCTTTTTCTTTTTTTTTTTTTCTTCCCTGAAGCCAAATACTTAAGGAGCTTATTTACCATTGCTGATACTTCAGCTTTTTGAGTAACACAGTGTATTAAACCTCCTTTCTGGCAGGCAGCTCTTTCCCTGCAACACTAAGAACAACAGTGAGGACAGAGGGGAGATTTGCCACTTGTGTCCAGAGCCCTTTCAGCAGCTGTGCTTGGCAGTGGTAACAACCATGTCAGCAAACATGTTTCTGACACAATCAGCCTCTTGGGAATCTGAGGAAAAGATTGAGCTGAACTGCTCAGGTGCTCTCAGTTTCCTAGGAAGCTTTCCCATTTCCAGGTTTTCCATTGGGAGGTTTGTGTGGGAGCAGAGCCTGGCTGACTTCAGCATCATGGGTGTAATCTCTCAGCACTGCAAATGGAATTCTAATCTTGCCTTTTCTTTCCCTTGAGAAAGGAATAGATATATAGTCCCTTACCAAAGTTGAACTTGATATAGTGATCTGCCACAATTCCAGCCTGAAGACTTGTATCCAGGCATGGATCTTCTGAAATATGTAACCAGCAGTAAAATAACAAATAGAACATAACAGAAAATGACCAATCAACTCCCCATCTGCAGTTCTTTTTACTAGATGGTCTTTCAAGTTGGAAGACTTATTTTTGGTTACATTGTTCACTCTAATTGTGTCCTTCTTATATGGAGATCCTCATGTAGACATTGTGGGACAGCAATTTTCCATATTTTGGAGTTATTACCACACCCTGAACTTCATATTCCATGTAGCTTCAGACACTAACAGTAACTTTATATGCTAATAATTCTGGCAGTATTTTACTAAATTATTTCCTCCAATTAAAAGAAAAAGTCACAGATATGTGTCATACCGTGGAATATAAAAAATAGAGTCATCTAATGTCACTGTATGATTGGATGAAGATGCCAGCCTCAGGTTGTAAAAGTGTGCTGTGAGGCCTATCT